AGTTCAACGCAGATTCGGAATAAGAACCTTCTTGCTTTCAAATCTCTCTTATTTTCGTTTTTATTCTAAGTATTTTAGTCATCTTAATCTTTGTTGTGCGGTTCTCGCAGATAGCCGGTTCCTCTGGAAACTTAGGGTTTTTCCCGAAGTTTCCTTATTTACGATTTATTTGACAGTAGGGTGAAATCGACTCCCACACTAGATTTACATCAATCGAAGATGAATATCGTTGGGACGAACGATCTAGAAACGGCGGCAAAGGTACAACAATTTTTTAGCTTGATTTCTTAATCTCGTCGAAGAGCATATGCATAACTGTGTGTTTAGTGATGTTCTGGATCAGTTTTTGGGAAGGAGATGAATATTATTTCATGAATTTTATAAGTCTCTTATTTATAAGGCTTTATAAATATTATATTAGATGAACACAACGTTTCTTTAGCTTGATTTCTTAACCTCATCGAAGAGCATGTGTATAACTGTTTTTTGTGTGCTGTTATCGACCAATTTCTAGAAAGGAGACGAATTTTTTTTCATGAATTTTATAAATCTGTTATTTATATGGCATTACAAATATTGTATGTAGACGAATTTTTTATGTTTCAGGGTACTATGATTGAGATTTGTGCTGTTTGCGGAGAATGGAAACTCGTAAATGGAAATCACTGGGATTTCATAACCGACGATGAAATAGGATCTTCCATTAGTATGATTCCTAAAGACATTAGGTTCATGATTTAGTTGGTTATTTGCTAAAAGATTTTGATATTGACTCCAACAGAAACAAGGTGAAGCTTAGTTATCCATCTCTTTCAAAAGTTAATTTTGGATGTAAAGATATTCCTCCAGTGTTTATCAGGAACGATCGACATGTTTCGACGTATCTGAATAAACTACAACAAAATGGAGGTCTTCATCTATGTTTAACTGTAAAGGCAAGTACACATATTTAGAAGGCTTTATAAAACTATTTTACAAGATTCATTTACTAACTTTTTATGTTTTTATGTTTCAGAAGGAAACACGGAATGAAGTTTTAATTACCCATGATTTTCCAAATGCTGGAGGAACACAACTATCACCATTGATTATGCCAAACCTGACTCAGACACGTGATGAGTTGTCCAGTAATCGCAATTCGCCTATTGCTCGAAGTAGTAGTGCATTTGAGGTACTTTCAACACTGTTTTATCTTAATACTCATACTTATAAGGTATTATAAATTGTTTAAGAAAGTAGATCTCTATCTAATTTTGTAGCGAGGAACACAATTTTCTCCTTGAGACTGAATGTAACAATATTCAGAGAGTTGATGAATTATCAGGAATACAACATAATCATATTTAGAAGGCTTTATAAAATTTACAAGATTCATTTACTAGCTTTGTGTTTTTATGTTTTCAGAAGGAAACACAGAATGAAGTTTTAATTACCCATGATTTGCCAAATGCTGGAGGAACACAACTATCATAATTGATTATGCCAAACCCGACTCAGACTCGTGATGAAATGTCCAGTAATCGCAATTCTCCTATTGCTGGAAGTAGTAGTGCATTTGAGGTACTTTTCAACTTTGTTTTATCTTAATACTCATAATTATAAGATATTATAAATTGTTTAAGAAAGTAGATCTCTATCTAATTTTGTAGCGTGGAACACAATTTCTCCCTGAGACTGAATGGAACAATATTCAGAGAGTTGATGAATTATCAGGAATACGACATAATCATTATGTATCTCCTTCAACTGGTTTTGTTAGTAATAAGGTACATATAACTTTCGGAGTATAATCAATATCTTATAATCAGTTATAAATTCCATTTTTAACTCTTTTTTTTCTTTAGAGAGGATTGAACTTGATGGGTCCTGTTGTAGATGGATCTGAAAGGTCCAAATTCTCATCTTTTTCTAGCAGACGCGGTCAACAAATTTTGAGAGAAGAGTCACATTCTTTTTCAGAGATCTCGTCTCCAACTTGTGCTACAAATCAATGTGATGACACTGATGAATTGTTCTGCGGGAAGTTTTTTAAGGACAAAAAGGAAATGAGCACGAAGTTGAAGTCGCTTGCAGTTAATCAAAGCTTTGAGTTCTGCACAGAATATTCAGACAGGAAACGTTATATGCTTACTTGTGTGGAAGAAAAATGTAGCTGGAGTTTTCGTGCAAAATCAGTGAAAGGATCTCAGATGTTTGTTGTGCGTCATTATGTATCTAAACATACATGTGACACTTCTCTGAGAAGTGTTAAACATCGGCAAGCTACTGCGAAACTTTTGGGAAGTATGGTCAGCAATCATTATGAAGGAGGAAAAATTGGGGTGAAACCAAAACAGATTATTGACAAGGCTAGAAAAGATCATGGTGTTATGATTTCATATTCAAAGGCTTGGAGGTGTCAAGAGCATGCCCAAGATCTAGCTAGGGGTACTCCTGATGACAGTTATGAAGCTTTGCCCAGCTGGTTTCACATGTTAAAAGATAAGAATCCAGGTTCTGTGACTTTTATCGATGCTGATTATGTTGGGAAATTCAAATATGCCATTTTTGTCGTTTGGTCCATCTATCAGAGGTTTTAATTTGATGAGGAAGGTGATTTCCATTGATGGTGCCCATCTGAAATCAAAATTTAAAGGGACTCTACTTGCTGCCACTGCACAAGATGGTAATTTCCATTTATATCCTATAGCTTTTGTTGTAGTTGATTCTGAGAATGAAGCCTCATGGAGTTGGTTTTTGATGTGTTTGAAATCAATCATTCATGATGAAGATGACTTGGTATTTGTTTCTGATCGTGCTCAATCTATTGAAAGTGTTGTTTTACAACACTATCCCCTTGCTCATCACGGAATCTGCATTTCCCATTTTGAAAAAAAATATCCTCGACAAATTCAAGAGTTCAACCCTCACCCCATTGATTGTTGAGGCGGCTTATGCATACATCAAGGAAGATTTTCATTATTATTTTAATGAGATTGAGCAAGCAGACCCTGAAGTAGCAGACTATCTTCGTAAAGCAGACTTCAAGAAGTGGTCACGAGCATATTCTTCTGCTAATCTTTACAACATCATGACATCAAACTTGGCTGAATCCATTAATGTTTTGCTGAAAGTTAATCGTGAGTATCCGATAGTATGCCTTTTTGACTCTATTAGGGTAATTATGACTAGGTGGTTCACTGAACGGCGTGAGCAAGGAATTCGTCATATCCATCCTGTCAATTTTGAAGTTGGAAAGAAGATGAAAGATTTATATGATAAAAAGTCACATTGGCTTGAAGTCTTTAAAATTAATGATTTTGAATTTGAAGTTAAAGGTGATTCAAGAGATCAGGTTGTAAATTTCCAAACAAAGCATTGTTCTTGCTTTCAGTTTGACATTGAGAAGTATCCTTGCGCTCATGCTATTACCGCTGCCAAATCTGGAAACAAGCATGAAAACGACTATGTGGATGAGTTCTTCTCAAATGAAAGGTTCGTTTTTCTCATTCATTGTTTATAAAACTTATCGAAATTATAAGGGTTTATAACACTTTTATCTATTCTTTTAATTTTATTATTAGGTTCAAACTAGCTTATTCAGAGAGTATTTATCCAGTTGGTGATAAAGCATATTGGGATATTCCTTCCCATATAGCTTCTATGGTTTGCCGTCCTCCATCTACTCGCTATCCTAGTGGCAGGAGGAAAAAAAGAGGATTCCAAGTTCGTGGGAACATGGCAAATATCCGTCAACATCTTACAAATGTAGTAGATGTGGGCAGAAAGGTCACAACAAGAGTAGTTGCGTAGTGCTAATTTGATAATAAGAGTACTTTAAATACTTGTGTTATGAGTCTTTACATGCTTTTATAATACACAGATTTGTGATTCATTTTTATTTTAAAAATTTTATCCATGACTTTATAAGGGTTTATAAGTTTATAAACGCTTATAAATATTTCAAATTCGTCATTTTCTAAATAATAAGAGTAGTACTGTATAAATAATTTTTTCTATGAGTGTTTACATACCTTAATAATACAAATTTATGATTCATTTTCATTCAAAATCTTTTATCCCTTAATTTTATAAGGGGTTATAAGTTTATAAAAGCTTATAAATTGTTCGAATTCGACATTTTCTTTCTCAATCCTAAATCATGTTCTTGTTTAATAGTTCTATATCTTTTTATGACTTTTTATATGCCTTTATAAATCAGATATATGATTCATTTTCACTTAAAATATTGTATCCCTGATTTTATAACAGTTTATAAGTTTATAAACCATTATAAATTGTTCAAATTATTGATATCTTTTAGCTTACCAGTATGAATGAAAACTAAGTATGTTGCCATATCAAAGAACTAGTGTTATGATTCATTTTCACTTATCATAATGGATTAACGTACAAAACAGAAAATATTTTCTTATCCGATTCAACAACAACAAATGACATCACAAAATAAGTTCATTGTCAACAACAACAACACTAAAAACAAGTTAAAACAGAACTACAAGTTATTTTTCAAAATCATCCATACCCACCTCCTCATAAATCTCTGCACCCATCTTCAGTCGCAGTGCTGGTATAGTCTCATCACTGAAGCCATCAACTTTCTTCCCTTGAGCTAAGCATTCAATGTATTTCAGAGTGTACACACCACAATCTCATGGGTTCTCATTCTTGGGAATCTTCTTATGCCTCAAGTAAGTGAACTGCTTAGTACTCATTATCGGATCCACCATTTTGTTAAGTAATGCCGGAACCATTTTCATGAATGGCCTGCACTCCTCACGCATCTGCGCTTCAGTCAAAATAGTTGGAATGTTATCATACACATTTATTACCTTTTTATGTAAATCAATGTGTAGAGCAATCCAGTGATTGCCGTTTACGTGGTGGCAGACGAAGAGAGAGTCAACATCTACAAGCCACTTTTTATGAGTGATAAATTTTCCAGGATATTCTCCATTAAAGACCTTAATATAAACTTCTGGCCACTCAAATGTCTTCTGATCATACTTTTTGTAGTCGTTGACCCATTTTTTCACAAACCAACGGTCTAAAAATGCAATTCGAGAAGAAGAATATGGAGATTGTGATTGCATTGAGCGTCTGTGAAACATAAGCATTACTGACGCCATGTGCTGTGACATAAAAATTTAATAATCATTATCGAATTAAATACTTAGCTAAACAAATCACAAGCAAAAACTTACGGAGTCAAGCAGCGAGCCGTAACCATCTTTTGGCCAAGATTCTCTCGGTATCATCAGCTTCAAATAAATTATGCGTTCCTCCCTCCATAACTGTACTTATCTTCGTTCCTACGATGAAAAACAAAAGTATAAGATTGTAAAATTATCAAAATAGGTTTCTAGTGAGAAAACTTACAAATTAGACTTAACGAAGTCCAAAACTTTTTGTATTTTCTCTTGATCAATCTTTGATAGTGGTTCTCTGGAGACATATTCACCAGTTATGATCATCTTCACTGTGTTCTCCAAGCTTAAAGCATTTTCTTCCAAAGAATTACTATTCTTTTGTTTCTTTGATCTAGAGGAGCTAGCATCATCTCTCTTCATAAGAATAACAATTTAAGAAAATAAGAAATGATAACAGAATGTAAAAAGAACATATTTATAAACCATTATAAACAGAGTTGTTTACCGGTTTTCCTCGTCCACCTCTTGTTTTTATACATTGGTCGGGCTCTTTAGTTTCATTTTCATGTACCTCTTTCTCTTCTTCTTTTTCTTCTTCTTCATGTGGACGTTTTTCACCTTTTCTCTTTTCCTAATATTTCAAGGCAAAACTTATCTTAGCAATTTAAAAATTAATAAAAGGAAAAGCTTTATAAAAATATCAAAACAAGAGAACCTGTCTAAGGGCATCCACAAAAATTGTAAAACTTCTGCATCACTAAATTTGGGCTGATCATTATGTTCATTTGCAGTTTCTTGGCCAATCTTCAAAATAGTTTCAAGATGCTTCACTTTGTCTTGAAGAATCACTACCTTCTTAGCGAGAAATTCAATCTTTTCTTTATCACTAGCATCAATCCCAGGTGCATAGTTTCTTTGTTCCATTTCCGCCTCGGCAACATCAATGTTGACACTCCCATTAACCCAATCTTGTTTCTTCAGACGGTATTCTCTCTTCACAAGATCTAACACTCTTCCAAATTCATTGTCAACAATTTCTTCAACCAAATTGCCATGCAATTCTGGATCTCCAATGATACATTTTATATCAACCTGAAAATTGTATTTGCATGATTAAACAATCGATAGAAAAAAATAGTAATACTGCAAAAAACACCTCAGTTTTATAAGGCCTTATATATCGTTACCTTTTCATTAGTGTCAAATCAGATCACTTATTCCATAGTAAGCGATTTGGTTTCTATCCAATGCAAACACAAAGGATACTCTGTTTCCGGATCCTTAACTCCAAAGTAGTGTTTCTCTAGCTCATCCACAGAAGAC